GAAAAAATATCGAACCGTGACACCAAAGTATCGAACCGAACCGTGAATTTTGTGTATCGTTGCACCCCTAATAATAATAATAATAATAATAATAAATATATATATATTCTACTATAATTCTACTTCAAAAGTGAGCAAATTTGACTGTTAGGTCGGTGTTTTTGCTACTTTACATCTGTCATGATGAATGTGTCAGAATCACAGACAGCAAGAAAAAGAAGAAGAGAAAGAAAAGGCTTGCGTGCAGGCGGTCTTCAGTGCAGTACTGATAAAGAGGGTCAGTGCTGACTGATGTTCAGCAAAAAAAAAATAAAAATAATATAATAATATAACCCCAAGTGCGCCCCATCGTTCCTATTCATCTGGCCTTCTCTGCTCTAATGGGCATGTTGGTGGCGGGTGGATGGATGACTGGTTCTTGTCAGATCAAATCTTTGGGGCTGAGTAGCTAACACTATACAGGACTATTCCAGGAAGTAGACTGGTCACTGAGAAGGCAAGGTGATCTCACCAAATGTCAATACACCAGCAAATGAAAACGTTAAATTATTCAATATTACTTCAACAACCTTGAATACAGAGCCATTAAATATTTGGCATTTATGCTTAAAAATTGCTTTTATGATTATGACAACTTAATTGTTTATTTATTCTCTTCAAATAATATAAATGAGCAATATTTACTAGTTTACTTGGACTCTGATGCATTTATGAGATTTCAATTATATATACATTATAAAGAAGAACAGGTGACACCCTTTAGTGACCAGCTGCTGTCCAAATAAGAAATAAATAAATGACTGAACAGATTAAGATACATCACAACTGCCAGATACAAAATACAATGAGATTACATGCCTGCTCATACTTAATCCTTCATATTTTATACGTTTATTGATTCGTTTTTTCTAGTTATAGCTTTACAGGAAGTCACATGCTCAGTTAATGAAATAATATATTTATTTTTAGATTTATTTTTGGCATTTTTGCCTTTATTATACAGCAACAGTCAGAGGGAGAGAGAAAGAGAGGATGACAATTGCAGTAGGGACTCAGCTTGCGCTCAACAGATGAGCTACAGGAGCACCCCCCCCCCCCTCCCCGATTCAGATGTTTTAAAGCAACACAAGCACTGCTTTGAGCTGTGAAAATGAGAAATTCTTGCTTAAAGGCACTTTTACCTCAAAGGACTAAATTAGCTGCCATTGAAGTGTAGTGCTGCTGCACATCACACTGCTGCAAATCCTGCTTAACTGAGAACGGCTTAACACCAGCTTTTTATTACCACACACTAATACATCAAGTTGCCTTAAGAACAAAGAACTAATCGTGACCTCCCTAGACTTAAACAATCCCGCCATACATGAATCAGCAGCTGACAAATTAGCAAGCAATAGGTCCCTCTCCTGGCTTACAGAGGCTACAACACACTTGCAGGCATCCTGATACCACAAGCTGGGAAAAGATGCTGAATAGCTATGAAAGAGCACAGAGCAGTGGGTGTTTGTATAGTATGGCTCTGCCTCATGGAAACAAACCAGTTCAATAAATTACCAAATAATGTGCACAGATGGTTAACATAAATATACCAATGTGCCACTGCCATTTGCTATGTTACTGCTATTGATTTTGGCTTATTCATACAAACCCCTAAACAATTTTTCATTAAAGGTTGCTTATCAGGACCAAAAACTATTCATTAATCATTTGATGTCTAAAAACAGTATTCACTCCCATGTGTGTCTAACACTAGCCACTCCCATTTTTACACTTTAAGTTAGCAAAATGACAAAATAACTCCAGTATGGAAAGTAGGGCCAGAAAAAAAATGAAAGAGGAGGAGGAGAAGCTTCTATCTTCATACCAAATCTCCTCAGACATATGTAATTATCCATTATTAGACCTAACAACTGAAATCCATTTAAGGGAGGCAATTAGAGCAACCAGCCTGAATGCAAGACTGATAAAAAGTCATCAACATTAAGTTTAATGAATATGGAAAAGATCAATAACATTCCTTGCCATTAATATAAATTTGCCTGTGTGCGATTTCAGTAATTTCTCTTTAACATAATGATTCAAAGGTACTTTGGCTGTACTGCAATTTCTGAGAGCAGATGTCTAAACTTTGGCCAAAAGTACCATACATTAAAACAAACAAAAACTGTGGCTTTTGTTGTTTCTATGGGACTGACTCAGCATATGATGAACTGGTGTTTCAGAATAAAGCTCTATATAAGGCATCAGGAGTGACTAAACTGAGAGTGATAAAGCATTCAGTGATTCTTTAAATATTTAAGTATGTCTTTAGAATTGATGTGGTTGTGACTAATTAATGAAAATAACTGTGTTGCTATGAAGCTAAAAAATGTCCCATTTGAGTGTAAACTCTGGTTTCACTCCTTAAAAAGACCAGAAAGAACGATTACGGTTTTAAATATTATCGCTGTGTCTTTACCTTGGTAGTGCTGTAGCATCTTATGCGATCTGATGTCCCACACCTTGACAGAGTTGTCAGTACTAGCTGCAGCAATACATGTTCCACTGGGATGAAAGTCCACATAGTTTGCATAACTTTTGAGAAGAGAAAAAAAAAAAACAAAGTAAGGCAAAGTAAAGGAGAAACAGTGATTTAAAAGATTTGAAATCCTGGAATAACCCAGAAGGTCAATTCAAACAACACAAAAGCTTTAGTCATTGGTGGAAAGGGTTAATGATTTAAGGTTTATAGTGAGAAAGTTAACTATTTTAAAACACTTTAAGACACATGAAGCCTTTTGTGAAATTTCTTATTCTAAATGCTGGGAACTTAAAAAAATATATACAGCTTTCTCTGGACCCTTTTTCCCCCCAATTTCATTTTTTTATCTTATGCAGTGGCATACAGCACCAAAATAAATTAAGCTGTGATTGGGATGTCTCCATTCCTGTTCACCTTAAACTGCTTAGACTTTCAGTACAACTGTGGGTCATGACACCTATAGAAATACTCTGATGATTGATTCTCTGAGGAGCACTAGCAGATGATTTTGTTGAGGTTGAGAAAAAAAACGATAGATGGTGGTTGACCTGAGTCTATCGTGGGACAGGATGTTGATGCTAATCCTGACCACCCTCTGCATCACTTCCTACAGGCAGGCATAAAGTTTATTCTCTAACAGACTCTGCTGCCACAAGGATACAGGAAGTATTTTATACCTCATGCCATCATCCTCTATAACAATGCTTTTTACTTGGAAGAGAGGCATTTTACATTAATGGTATTATTATCTCTAGTGTTTCAGCTGCTGTAAGAAACGATATGGGATAAAGTGTAGCTCATCTTATTATCATCTCAACACAATAAGCTAAAACTACAGAAAAGAAAGGAGCTCAGTATGTCAGACTCTAAATAAAACACAATAAAGGTAAAAAGAAGTAAGAAGAAAGATGTAAAACAGGATATTAAATGTATCAAAGACTCACACAGCCAATGTCTCATTAAAGTGTTTCAGTATAACAGACTGCACAATGTACAAGGGAATAGGGCACATGTGTAATGACTGAACAGGTGTTCAGTGCCTTCGTCATAAACATTTGAACAGGATAACAAATGGTTAGGGGATTGATTCTGTCAGATTTTTTCCAGCATTTACTGCCGTTGCATCAGTACACTTGTAAGGATTTTTTCTGACCTTACCAGAACACCAGCAGAAAACTGACAAAAATAAATAAATACTCCTAGCTCCTCCTATTCATCATTCAGGTGCTCGCAAGTGCTCACCCTGCATGTTCATAGAAAGAATGAATGCACTCTCTGCTGTTTTTGTCCCACAGCTTTATGGTCTTATCATCACTGGATGACACAATCAAGCGATCATCTGGAGAAAACCTGCAATAATAATATAAAATAAATGTAAATGATTAATGCTCAATCTGTATAAAATATGTTCAAAAATGCATGGTGTAATGGAAAAGGTCAGATATACACCAGGCATCAGGAATAAAATTATGACCACCTGCCTAATACAATACAATACAATACGATTTTTTTTTTTATATAGCACGTTTAAAACCAGGGGGTACATCAAAGTGCTTCACAGTAAGGAATAAACAGTAAATGATTACACTGAACAATAAGTCATTAAAATAATTTAAAATAGAGAAACAAACAAAGGCATTAGTAAGTAGAGATGGGGAGAATTCATGACAATCCAGAGAAATGAGTAACGATACATCAATTAATGAGCGGTGAGAATTAGTGAGTTGGAAAAGCCAGGTCGAATAGGTACGTTTTCAAGCGTGCTTTATAGGATTGAATGGAGTCAGAGGGATGAACAGTAGCAGGAAGACTATTCCAGAGGTTTGGTGCTACAGAGGCAAAGGCACGATCACCCCTAGTCTTCAGACGGTGCCTGGGCTGGGCCAGAGGTAACTGACCAGATGATCGTAAAGAATAGCCGGGAGTATAGAGACTGAGGAGGTCGGTGAGATAGTCAGGGGCAAGGTTGTTTAGGCATTTGTAAGTAAGCAGCACAACTTTAAAATCAATACGAAATTTAATAGGCAGCCAATGTAAGTCAGAGAGCACTGGAGCAATGGAGGCAAAAACGTTCTAGTTCTGGTTAGGAGACGAGCCGCAGCATTCTGAACATCTGTTATCATTGGAGGTGAGCGAGTTGGAGTCCAGAGTAGAGCGATTTACAATAATCTAATCTGGAGGTCACAAAAGCATGGATACGTTTTTCAAGGTCTTTGTACGGTATTAAACGTTTGACCTTAGAAATTTGGCGCAATTGGAAGAAGCCAGATTTAACCACAGAGGAAACCTGTTTATCCAGCTTAAATGAACTATCCAGGCAAACACATAGATTACTTACAGTGTCTGTAAGAAAGAAAACAAATGGACCAAATCGGGCAGCTAGCTGATCTCGTGGACTGTGACTATCAAACACCATAATCTCAGTTTTCTTCTCATTTAAAATGAGAGAATTGGCAGACAGCCACTCTGTGACCTCTTTCAAGCAGTCAGACAAACGATTCAATGAAGTTGGCAGGTCAAAAGATAATTGGAAATAGATTTAATAATGTGTTGGTCCCCCCTTTTGCTGCCAAAACAGGCCAGGCCTATTGAGCCATGGACTCCATCACACCTTTGAAGGTGTGCTATGGTATCTGGCACCAATATGTTAGCAACAGAACCTTTAATTCTTGTAAGATGCAAGGTTAGGCCATTTATGGAACTTATTTGTCCAGTACATCCACCAGATATTGGATTGGATTGGGATCTGGGGAACATGAAACTTCCTTTTTTTGGATTATTATTGTTAGATACTGACCAGGAACAGCCCAAAAAAGATGCATTTTGGAAATGATCAGTGTAATTCTCTTTATCTGTCAAAGGTCATAATGTGATGCCTGAAGTGTAAATCTATCAAAATGTCCTAATATGATGCATTGTATCGTGTTAAATGTGTGTCTCATACTTGGCACAGCGGACCCAGTTGATGTGCTGGTTGAGAGAGAAGAGGAACTTTTGCCTGTGTGTTGTCCACACTTTAATTGTCTTGTCATCAGAGGCCGTGACCAGAGTCTGTCCGTCACCAGAAAAGTTAACACTGCGCACAGTGGCAGTGTGAGCCCTGAATACTGTTGACTCAGCCTTCCTGTATGGACACAAGACATTACTTAAGTTTAAAACAAACAAGCAAAACCCAGAAGGTGTTCAGCAATGTGTGTCTTCCTCCATGCTGGCAGAAGGAGACAAGCAACATTCAGTAGTTGCTGCTCTTTATGAGTCACCATCATTGTCCTCTGTAGTAAATCTGTGGTGGAATAAAGAACAGAAAAGACAGAAAGATTTTACTTTAACACCTACATGCTTGGCACCCAAAGACGTACAGTCTTGTCTCTGGAGGCAGAGGCCACCAGATGGCCTGATGGGGAAAAGTGGACGGAAAGGACGGCGTCTTTGTGTCCATCAAAACGATACGCTCGCATCTGAGGTTTCATGTTCCAGATCATCACACAGGAATCCATGGAGCCTGTGGCTAGGAGAGGATGAAGCACAGGTGTGAGTGAGAACATCATGTATTTCCAAAAAGGAAAAGACAAAGGCAACAGCAAACAGTTACATCTGAAGGCAAACAGATCATTACCAATTTGTTTCATGTTGCAGCTGAAGTCCACACTTGTTATGGTGTCCCTGTGACCCTTGAAATGTCTTTCTAGGGTTGGATCAGACTATGGGAGCAAACAGAGAGTCATGTCAAAATGTTAAAATGTCCTCATGACTACAAAAGCTACAATAATAAGCAATAAGTTAGACATCTGGGAAACAGAAAATTTGGTACTATTTACTAAGAGCTTATCACTGAAGAAGTGCTATTTCTTCCTCATCACGACTATGTGGGTGTATGATGTGACTAAAACTGGCCTGGAAACATGAGCAAAGAACCCCATAGTTATGATTTGTAGCTAAAATAATGAGGTCCTCTGATTTTGCGCAGTTATTCTTTTTTACTCTCTTAAGTCTGTGGGAAAATAACACAGAGTAAGTTTCTAACTCTCCATAAAATCGTTAACAGCATCCCAACTACACACGTAAGGTTTAGAATACACAAGGCACTTCTATGACACCAAAGTAAAGTATGGGTTCACTCAAATAATGCTCTTTCAGCTTTTGATTTTTCAGACATGTCACACCAAACAAAAAAAGAAAGAAAGAAAGAAAGAAAGAAAGAAAGAAAGAAAGAAAGAAAGAAAGAAAGAAAGAAAGAAAGAAAGAAAGATTAATAAAAATACACTGTTTTGGTTTTAGGCTCCTAGAACAGGTTCACGGTCATGACTTAGTATGACACGTGAATGGAAACAAGTCTGTGTTTATGTTAGTAGTAACACTTGTGCTGCTAGTCAAAATGTTTACTGTGAAAGGCACCCACTGTGTGTGATACATCTCATTGCAAAACCCATGGCCAATAATATGTTACCATGGCTGCCTCTGCTATTCTGGGAAAGTTTTCAACAAGATTTTACAAGAAACAGCTGTCGACAAATATGTACACAAAAGCATGCAAACCGATGTTACACCACATTCTGAGGCTCAGCATATTAAGTGACCGAATTGATGCGTTTTGGGGTCATTGAGGTCATTGAAACGTCATGCTAGCCCTCCTCACCTCAACCCTCATCTTCTGAACGGAAGTCATCGCTCTAATACGTGAAAATGTGCATAAACATGCTTATTTATTCCAGATATCATTGTAGTTACTTATTATTATCATTAGCATTTCAAGGCAGTTAATAACAAGCCAGCCAAACAAGAACAGCTGGTTACAACCTAACATTATACCAGCCAGTGTTAGGCTTGAGTGTCTTAAAAATCACAGTTTCCCTTTGATAAACAGTTTGATTACATTCTCATAGTTTAATCACTATCTCAGTCTAACAATGTTCAATCCATTTCAAAGAACGTTTCACTAATGCCAGCAAGATCCTTGCGAGAAATACACTAACTTGTATATCAGCTAGATAAAAACAAAAATTATATGTAACAATTTTGTACAGAAATGCAACTAAAACTATATTCTGTAAGTGGTAAAGGCAAATTACCACTCAAGAAAGTTTTCAAATAAATGAAATAAAATGTTCCTAGGAGTACAATGTGATCTAAAAGTAGCAAGTTTAAATTTATTTAATTTCTTCATATCTGGTTCATTTATATGACGATGTATCGAATATGTTTAGGATAAAGTTAAAACTAATTATGCCTAAACAACTATTCCAAAGTTCAATACCTCTTTTTACAAATGTGCAGTCACATTTCACACTACTCCCAACCTTGGGTTTTTCATAAAATATCATTTGTATTTCTCATTTAAAATATAAAATAAAATACTGTATACATAAACCTTTTTATATACTGTAAAAGGTCCTCCACGGAGTATAAGACTGTTTTTTCAGTGTAGTAGTGAACTGTGGAGTCTGAGCGCAGTACAGCCGCATACTGGCGCTGTTTCACAGTGTAATTGTTCACAGACTCCAAACGCCGATTAAACTTCAGAGAAATTGAGCAATAAAGTCAATTCTTCGTCACGAGTTAATTAAAAAGTATTAATATGAAGAGGTGTTTTATGTCTTCGACGAACGGACTTTTGTAAACAATGCATGAAAGACAGAAACAACTCGGTCCATTAGGACAAATTTAACTCTGAGTTAAACCTGTAAGGGTGTAGTTCCAAATTCGTGACACGCGTTTTCACCACACACGTTTATTATAGCTCAGGAATAATTCTGGCAATATTATAATTGGTGAAAATTAATTATTCACTAATGACAAACAATTTTATAAAGGTGAAGCTTAGGGTTTTCATAATGTTGGACGGCATTCGTACCGGAAGTGGTGCCTGCGAGGTCTAACTCAGGGGATTTGTAGAAAATCACGGTAGGCGGTTACCAAGGAGACGTTTAGCCGTTAGTTTAGCTAGCCGCTAAGCTAGCCGTTAACATCGGAGAGACAAAACAGGACTTTCCGTGCCACATTTTCTAGTCAAAGTGAACCAGTGTGGCATGGCAGAGCTGCACATTATAGGGCAGATCATTGGTGCAAGTGGTTTCCCGGAAAAGACTTTGTTTTGCAAATGGGGAATTCATACGGGAGAAGCATGGCGGCTTTTATCCGGGCTGAAGGAGGGTCAGACCCAGGTGGATAGCCCCCAAATCGGAGACATAGCGTACTGGAGCCACCCGATCGATCTGCACTACGCAACCAAAGGGCTGCAAGGCTGGCCGAAGATTCACCTAGAGGTGTGGCATCAAGATTCTTTCGGACGGTGCCAACTCTATGGTTATGGTTTCTGCCACGTCCCTTCTAGTCCGGGACATCACCGAATAAGATGTGCGACCTGGAGGCCCGTGGGCTCCTGGCAAGAACGGCTGGCGCAAATGTTCGTCGGCGGAGGTCCCCAGCTCCTCAGCCCTGACCTGATCTACAGCGGGGCGGACAGATACAGACTGCACACCGAAGCCATGGGGACTGTGGAGCTGGAGCTGGGCATCATCACGAGACACTTTGACAAATATGGTGTCGAGTGTTGAGATTTTGAAATGGCAGAAAGACAGAAAGTAGAAACAGTTATAGATCATATTTGAGTCACTTGCTTTTAGTAGAATTTTGTACTATTTTTTTTCTAAACTGCACTTTTTTTTTTTACAAACATCTATATGTAAATAAAGAAAATATTCTCTTACTGAAGTTGGTTTCTTGCTGTTTTGTATTTTTTAATAGAAAACTGACTCTTATTAGCGATATTCCCTGTAACCATGCCTCATTTAATGCTGTTTTCTTAAATGCATCTTTATATTATATTATGTAAACCCACATTTACTTTTTATTTGGGATTTTAAGTTGTACGACTAACAGGATCGTTACTTGAATTAAGTTAAATGTCATTAATAACCTGCTACAAATTAGGAGTGGGGGCAAATACTGATACTGAAATCTATCATTTTGGTTCCACGTGTGATCCATTCACTGGCAGCAAATATTGTTTATCAAAAGATGTAGGAGTTCCCTGCTAGTCTGGCACACGTCACTACTTTTTAAGAAAATTATAAAGTGAGTTATCTTACTTCATATTAACAATAACAACCTCACAAGGAAAGAACGGGAAAGACTTTTAAAGAGTATATTTTTTCCCTTCAGTTACCAGATACTGTGGTGTATGGTGCATGACTGTATTGCACAGAATATATATTGTCATAGTGTCTTATGAGTTACTCTTGGAGTTCATCAAAGAGAGGTTTTGACCAACCTTTCTTGAAAATGAGGTTTAGTTTATGCAAACTTAAAATAAGCTTGTTTTCTTCTTTGTTTGTCACTGGTTACAAGCATCTCTGAATGCACAACTTGTTGAGCCTTGAAGCACATAGGCATACTCAGATCTTAATCGAAAAGAGCACCTTTGGGATGTGGTGGAGCACGATGGATGTGCAGCCGAAAAGTCTGCAGCAACTGCCTGAAGCGATCATGTCAATATGGACCAAAACCGCAGCTTCACATAAAGAATTAAGGCAGGTCTCAAGGCAAAAAGGCTGCTCAACCCAGCACTTGCGAGGTGCACCTAATAAAGTGGACGGTGAGTGTATGGTGGCATAAATTACTCTATCGTTTTTTCTTTTTCTTATAACTTCAATATACTGTTATTACCGTACACAGAATATCAGATTGTTGGCATATTAATTGCTTGTTAGTCACTTTGTCGGCAAAATGATGCATTTAATCTGCAAAGGCAATTTAGATCATGACAAATGAGTGAAACGATACCATTAAACTTTCACAAATGTATCATTTACATAACATATGTGGCTGTCATGACTGCACAGGGCGGTTGTTACATTAGTATAAATGTATATATTACATTGGACACTCAGCAGACTGAGTAATGAGTCACTTTGCTACGACTTCACAGACATTTAATCCAGACTAAGAGTAAAATTACCCTGATTTATAATCTGCTCTCGCTCTAAATAAAGCTAAAACAAGCAGCAAAAAGAAAGGGGTCCATATCAAATAAAAAAATATATGATGTATTGTAATAAATCTACAGATATATCGACCTTTAACTCTTAACCAATAAGCCACATTGTGGAAACCACAAATAAGAAACGAACTTCATCTCAGTGGCTCAAGCAGCAAGTTAAACTCACCAGCGCAGATGTCATTTTTGTTGATATCGGAGGCGAAATCCTGATGGAAGCGACTTGTTTACGTTCGTAGCTGTCCAAGCTAAATGTTACCGTGCTTTCCTCCGTTATTAGGACGAATGGGGTGCAAGATATCGCCTGTTTAGCTCGGTGTCCGGCTAACGCTAGCTAACAGTTAGCTCTTAGTTGCTGACAACAACAAAGTTCAGTTTACGCGCCGCGATTGGGCGCTGAGCAGCTGGTCGCCGCTCTTAAAGGGGCAGTCATCCCTTTAGCAAAGTTTCTGTCGAAACTGTCAGTTACTATTAACGTCAAAGTATTTAAACGATATGAAATATAGTCAAATAAAGTCCACACAGGTTTTACAAAATTATTCATGTGGTGCTGTTCCATTAGGATACGTTACGCGGTAAATTCAATATCAGGCCGTTTGTAGTAACTCATAATTGCCACCAGGTGTCAGCAGAGGTACACTAGACAGAGTTGTAAATCAGCTTTATGCAGCTAAGTACATGAAGGCCTGTAACCAAGGCCTAACGTGGGTTTTGCTGTCGCCTGCTTGTGCATATAAAATCTTAACTCTGGAGAACCATGGGGTCGACTCTGACCCCATGGGTTCTTCAGGGTTAAAATATAATCCATTTTCACTCAAGAATAAGATATGTGAAGGGAAGGCTGATGAAAAATAACTGCATTTTACTTTGAAACTGTCATTTTACTATTAACCTCAATTTAAACAATATGAAATATAGTCAAATAAAATCCACACAGGTTTTACAAAATTATTCATGTGGTGCTGTTCCATTAGGATACGTTACGCGGTAAATTCAATATCAGGCCGTTTGTAGTAACTCATAATTGCCACCAGGTGTCAGCAGAGGTACACTAGACAGAGTTGTAAATCAGCTTTATGCAGCTAAGTACATGAAGGCCTGTAACCAAGGCCTAACGTGGGTTTTGCTGTCGCCTGCTTGTGCATATAAAGTCTTAACCCTGGAGAACCCATGGGGTCATATTTGACCCCATGGGTTCTCCAGGGTTAAAATATGATCCATTTTCACTCAAGAATATGATATGTGCAGGCTGATGAAAAATAACTGCATTTTACTTTGGGACTGATCAGTCTAAACATGAGCCGCTCTACCTGACCCAAACACAGTATTTTTGCCCCTTTGACTGAGTCTGCCGAGCCAAACAGGTCACATTATGACTAGTAGGAAAGGTGTCAGTGTTCCTGATAGCTATGACAATGGCGCTGTCAGGTTTCCCAGGTACACACTACTACACTCGTGGTTTTGTGGCACATCAGAATGTCTCCTTGAGAAAAACACTTGTCACATTCAGTGTGCAGTTTTTTCATTGTGAAGATTTTGAAAACACACATACAGAAAATGTAGAAAAAGATAATCTCGGAAGTATTTAACAGAAATAATGACTATGGATATAACTAATGAATTTAAATGTGACCAGGGACCTGGAGTCTGTGGGAATTGCCAATGAGACGTGGTAAGCCACTCAAGGCCTGTGTCACCTAACATTTGATGGTCAAAATGAGCTAATAACAGTGAGTAAACCTGCTCTGTGAATCACAGCTACTGACGTACAGCAAACTTGTTACCATAACAAAGATTAGAGATACATTCCTGAGAACAGGTCAGATCATGGTGTCATTTTAGCACAAGTAATACAGGAAGTTAAACATTCAAATAACAGTAAGCACAGGATGCAAATATTTAGAATGGAGTGATGGAGTAAAAATCCAACACATAAACTAAAACTGAAGGATAATTTATTTAAGACTTATTCTTCTCTGCTCACCTATTCAATGTGTACATAAACTCATTCTTCAACTAAATCCCCACCCATGGTCTTTTTCAACCATAAGGTTGGTCACCTTGTAGCCAGTCATTTATACCACAAATACCAGTAATGCAATAACAAATATCACCACATAGTCATTCAGCATTACGAGCTATAATTATGTTATTGTCGCATTACTTTTAGAGTATGAGGTCATGTTTCTTTTTTCCCTATTCTTTAAAGCAAACTCACGGCAAGGCAGTGCAATCTGCTGCACTCTCTAGAGACACTTGTTTAAAAATTGTAATAAAATGATTTATCTACCCACACTTCTTTCCAGAACTTGCTAAAATAGTTCAAATGTAAGGCATCTCATGAAGCTGCAGCAGGGTTACTGTAAGAGAGAGGGGCGCAGCACTCAAAAAATGAGAAACTACGAGAGATGTGAAGCAGCGAAAAGCAAAGATGGTGGTAGAAGTACAAGAAAGTCCAGGAAGCGGGGAAAAAAGATTTTAATCAAATTATTTTGGGGTAATGTCAGCAAAAATATAAAAATCTTTACAAGTTATGACTATATATGTTTACATATATGTATATTTAAGACAGTGAGCATTGAAATTATTTTTTAAAAATGCTTTCATCTTCTCTGCTTATTTAATTTGGCAGAGTTTTACACAGAGATATCCTTCCTGATGGAACACAGAAGGAGGTTACACTGAACAGTAAAATGACTACAGCAGACTACAGTAGAAGCCAGCACTGGTTCCTATCAGTTTTAAGGCTTTAATTCATTTAATTCAATCAACAAAGAACAGTTTGTCTTTGCCGCTGCCCTCATATATTTAGTTACAGTAAACTAAACAAAGACACACCCACAGGTTTACTGTCTGTAGATAAGTACTTACAGTAATACTACACTACACTTTAACAATGCCTTCTCGAGCTAAAGCATTCTCATGCAATGTAATTCATCGCTGTTAATAGCTTATAAATCAGTTAATAGCTTATGTATCATAAGGGAACAGCACTGATTACATCACCTTGTAAAATCCTAAAGATTCCAGTAGGTGATGACTTTGATGAGAAGGAAGGAGGAAGAGAAACAGAAAAACAATCTGAAATTCTTCTCACTGCAGCTAGACACTTAAACTCAGCACAGTTTACTTGCTCCTGCGTGATACAGAGAATCATGCGGCACGTTTACAGGGCAGTAAATATTCATACGTCTATCTGAAAACTGAGCATCTTATCAGTGTATGTGTGCACTGTTTACGGGTAGTAGGATGTAGCTGCAACGAATAATCAGAGCTTTGTCTACAGAAACAGTTTCCTTTTCAGTGCAGCGGGAGGATGTTTTTCATGGTGTGTGTTTTATCTCATGGGGTTCTTGACTCCTGTTTCGAATGGGCCTTTTTGTCAAACACAGAGCCTTTTGATGCGCAGTGAGAGAGGAAGCTGTGGGGACCGTAGCATGGGGCAACAGATGGCTTAACACAGGCAAAGTTTCAACAGGTCCAGCGCTTTACATTTGCACACCGTGTGTTATGTGTTACACAACTGAGAGACACGTGGCCTTAGACTTCAAAATGACAAGTTCACCTTTGCGCCAGAGTTCATCTGGATAGGCTGGCAATTTCATAGCTATTCAGATATTTTATTTCTAAAGATTTATTTATTTAATTTTTTTTTTTAAACTATGGGTTGATTTTTCAGTGCATGAAATATTTTGATTCGATTAGCGGTTAAACTTTAAGTTGGGGCATGGGCTTATGTACCCTGCAAATATAAAACCCATATATCCTTAACTCGGCTAATGTGAGCTCTCAGTATGTAGCAGTCCTGTTGACAAAGTCAATAATTTGTATATTAATGAATGTTAACGAATGTATTAACATTTTGAAATAATTAGTATTTTAAATATCGTAAAGGCAGTTAAAGTCATCAAAACCACTGAGACTAAAATTACAATATGACAGCATAGGCGGATTTATTATTTCCTTAACTGAAGTTCCTCTTTCCTTGGTATTCTATTCATCAAAAACATGACATTATCATATCATATTCCCTGGAAACTGAGATGTGATGGTGTTCATTTTTCTACCAGTAACAGATATGTCAACAATATGTCTCCCAGCTGTTTATCTTGTCGATAGGTGACAGCATATTAGGTGAAGCATGTGGTCAAAAGTGTCCTAAAATGCACTATGAACCTCGTAGGTTATGGAAACTGGCTTCTTTTGGAAGAAAGCCCCAGATCTATCATGTCTGACAGCTCTTATAAAACACATATGGTATTTTCAAACAATGCATTGCTTGCAGCAGCCAAGCATTCCTCAACATAATTTGTCATTAGGTGTTGAAAGGCATGCATTAAGCCTGAAAGCCTAACATCTGAGAAGAGAAAATTTTGCTTCTTTGTTTATTAGCTTTTGGGCAAACACAACAATGTAAGACTAGTTGGCTGGTTTATTTATAGCCACCAACCTGAAACAACGATAAACCTCGTGAATGAGGAAATGTGAAGACTGGTAAATCCACTCAACTTTTTACGATTGCTACACTGGTCTGCACCATTGTGCTGGTGTCTGTCACAACATGGTTTCACTCGCCAGTGAAATGCAAAACAGAAACTGCAATAAAAAAAAAACATTCTCTCTAGACATAAAGTAGATGAGATAAAGACTGTAAGTATTTAACGGTGGTTGGAGGGTCAAAATTTCTCTTTAAAAATGATCATTTAAAACAGACTTTTTTAGTTCGAGCGCTGTGTACTTTATAGATAAGGCTGCAGATTGCTTGTTACCTTTGCTTGCACTGAGAGAATTGATTGCCCTAAAGGCAATGAAGCTGGTTGTGTCATTATGCCATGCTTTGGAGTTGCTGCCAAAAGTGTTCAGGGTTTATTCAGAGCAGAGGACATTCGAGCACTCTCTGTCTTATTATATGCTGTGCAGTTACACCTGTGCCATGAGTGCTGTCAGCAGCAAACCTCTAGTGCAGTGATCTAAACGGTGTTTCCATGTTTTTGTATTTGATTCAGAGCAGCAAGTTTAGTATATCAGCTCTGAGAATCTTCCGTGACCAACACAACCACACTGGCTGACTTATTACAAATGCTGGTTGACGAATGGGAACCCATCCCACAGCAGTGTGTGTTACCAAGCTGGTGACCAGCATGACCGGTGGTCTTATACTATTGGCCTTAACATGATGTTGATGCCCCTGTTTGTTAAATGAATAAAGTGTTAAATTGCCAATATGTCCTATTTCTTCAGACTTCAATCATCCAATCCAATAAACGACACCAAACAGGAATCAGTAGGAGAATATGCTGTTTGGCAAGATTTGGCAAGTTTTTCATGGCCACAACCCAGATGCTCAAGTCTGCTGCTCGACCCACAAATGCAGTTTTCTGGCACCATTTAAAGGGAGATAAACAGAGTTTCCAGTAGTATAAGATTTATTGCCAGGAAGTGTCATTACAACAAAGAAACAATCAACCAAAGACACATTTCCTTGCTGTCTCTGTTATGTTTGTTTAAATTAATAAGGAAATGTCCACAATTTTTATTCACACATGTGGTACGATGCAGCCT